ATTGGTAGGGGCAAGTGGCCACAGCACACAGCGGGCTTGCTCAAAAAAACCATGGGGCATATCCGCAAGACCTGCCCAACAGGCAATGAACCCCTCTTCTACTGCTTTACCGGTACTGACTGCTTTGGTCAGTAATTTAAAAGTCATTGGGACTAAACGGCCTGCTTTCTCCAAAATAGCTTTCGCAGTAGGAGGATCCATTGCCATAGTTGGATCAGGCTTCGGTTCTTGATCCCCAAAAAACTGCAATCAAGCTGAAGAGTGACGCTTAAATACCTGAATCTCAAATCTGAAGTTCTGCTGGCCACATCAAGAAGCACAAAGAGGCAAGGGGGGGAATGGCGTACCATCCAGGCTGCGGCCATATGTTGGCCGGGCAAAGCTCTTAAAAATCTCACCAAAAACCTCTAAACCAAGAAACGCCGACGCTGAAGCAATTACGCCGGAGACCCTCCAAAGTCGCCTTCGCCCCAACAAAGTCGCCTTTTCCAAAAAAAGGCAAAAATTTTGGGGTACTTGGAGTCTATAGGTATAACTCTTATTGATTATGGGACGCAACCGGTCAAGTTGCTTCCTTTGCAATTCAACATGGTGAGCCAAACCGCGTAAATCGGACAAAAACTTCTGAGAAGCAACGACCTCTTGGAGCACTTGAGCCATATTGTCTGCATGACGAAAAGTTCACTCAAAATCATTACCGTACAACAAAGCATGCAAAAAACAGCAAAAAGATAAGTAGCATAAGTAGAAATATTTTTCAAACACCACCACAACAAGAACTTATTCCTACTTATAAGTACCTTAAGTTCAAACTAAGTAACTCAAAAAATGACTTACTTATTCATTACTTAAAAAGATATATCCTAACTTAACGGAGAAAAGTCTCAACTTAAACATGATCTAAGTATGTTAATAGAATGGGCTAGCGCCCTGGTGCCGCCGACCCCCCCTATTTGGGGGGTGCTGTAGAGAGAGGGAGAGAGAGGGAGGGAGAGATAGAGAGAGGGCTTGGTGGAAGCTGCCGCGAGGGATTTGGAGGGTTTTAGGGGTTTTAAGGGTTTGAATAACGGCTTGAAGGCTGGCAAACGGCAGGCTTGAACGCCATAACAACAGAGGGCTATGCAGGTAAACGCAGGCAAACTGCAGGCTGCAACGCTGGAACAGCAAAGGCTTACAGGAGGGCTTGGTGGAAGCTGCCGCGAGGGATTCGGAGCATTTTAGAGGTTTTAAGGGTTTGAAGGGTTTTAAGGGTTTGAAGGCTGGCACCGGAGCATTTTAAGGGTTTTAAGGGTTTGAAGGCTGGCAAACGGCAGGCTTGAACGCCCTAACAACAGAGGGCTATTCGCAGGCAAACGGCAGGCTGCAACGCTGGAACAGCAAGGGCTTACGGCCGCAGGGCTTGGTGGAGGCTGCCGCGAGGCGCCCTAGGCAGGGACGCCCTAGCAACAGAGGGCGATGCAAGAAAACGCAGGCAAACGGCAGGCTGCAACGCTGGAACAGCAAAGGCTTACGGCCAGAGAGGGCTTGGTGGAAGCTGCCGCGAAGGATTTGGATGGTTTTAGGGGTTTAAAAGGTTTTAAAGGTTTGAAGGCTGGCAAGGGGTACCTTTTCCCTGCGGAGCTGGCCGGACTTTTGGAGGGTTTGGAGGGTTTGGAGGGTTTTGGAGGGTTTTGGAGCGTTTGAGGCCTGGCAAACGGCAGCCTTGAACGCGTATAAGAAGCCATTGCTGCGGCCGTGGGGTGCCCTTGAGCCATTGCTGTGGCCTTGTGGTGGCTTTTGCGTGCGGCAGTGGCGCGTGTTGGGCTTGTTGGGGTACCTTTTCCCTGCGGGGCTGGCCGGTCTTTTGGGGGG